GTTGAATCAGAAGTAATCTGTATAGTGTGCAGAAGAATTTCAAGAAAAAGGCAAGTAGGAAAACTGAATCCTGCTTTACCGAGTGAAGCAACTGACAAGTGTGTAATTCTGCAGGAATTTGTCTGGAGTTTGTATTTATGGGTCCTTGTCTTTTCTCTCCCTCTAGAAGGGAGACTCCATCATTCTTGGGTGTGTTTTTTATAATTTCATAAAGCTTTTCTGTGACAGAGCTTATTTTACCCAGCAAGCTTAATCTTTCTCAAATAGTGTCAAAAAAAATCCTTTGCAATTGGGAAAAGGAAAATTCAGCACCTGCCATTTTGTGTAGAACAAAGGAGCAAAGGTTATGGATCTGATACATAAATTAGGGCTTTGGGCAAATGAAAGACTGGACAGGAGTGGAGTAATCTTGAGCAGATCTTGCCACACCATGCCAAATTTCTTTGCACTATACATCGCACACTACTATGTACAGTGTAATGAACAAAGATTGTGGAACCATCACCGTGTCAAGATTGAAGAGGCCCTTAGAGTGAATAATTAGGAGGAGGTGATTACAGAACTAATAATTCATGGAAAGGAATAGGGAGCCAATTCAATGAAATTGAAAGAATTTGAAGGTAAATATGCCCATAAATCCTCTYGGGTGGACTCAGAGTTTAGCACTTTCTCCTACCCTGGTTTTATTCCAAGGCAATTTCATTAAACACTAGAGAGAGGGAGAGAAAAAATAATAATATAAATGCCATAAAAAATCTTTCAGAGGAAGGAATAAAAAGGGTTCCTGCCAGAGAGAGATTTTATTGAAAGTTATTATAATACCTATCTTTAGTTTTATGGCCTTTAATACAGGCCAAGTAATTTCAAAGCTGGGTTTCTTTAAAAATGAAATACATATTTTAAAATAGTATACTGTGACTTATTATTTTTAATATAGAATTTAGCTAATATAGTGAAGGGAGACATATTTTCTCTCTCATGTTCTTTCCAATGAAAACACAAACATCGTTTCCATCACAGTATATGGAGAAGTTTCATTACTATCCTTTGCCTGTACGTAAGAATGTTTAGCATTTACTATCTCTAGATCACTGGGCAGACACTAAAGCATTAATCTGATTACATCCCCTGGGGCCAATGGGTAAGTGTAAAGGGAACCATTTCAAACATGGGGGGAAGGGACCAGAAATGGGGTAGTGGTTTTGCTTACAGCCTCACAGCGAGCTGTTTCYCATGAGAAGAAATTATGTTAGTGGAGAGATTTCTATGGTCTCTGCTCACTAGCCTCTGCTCTCTTATGGAAGCAGCAATTTTAATAAATATCCAGTAAAAATTCTCAGCTCCAGGAGGGTCTTGGATGGTACTCATTCCTGTTACAAGAAGTAATGGTCTTCTGCATGTTTCCTTGACCCTGTGGTCAGGAATTTGCTGTTTTTTCTCACTGAAATAGCTTTATTCCTTTGGGATGATTCAGATGTTGGTATTTGAGCGGAAGGTGTTTGGAAAACCAATATGTGGTGGGACTAGAAAATCAGTTAGTGATGAATTGTGATGGAAAGTACTGAGATTAAAAATACAAGCTAGGAAGTGGCAAGACTGACTTACATAGTGTACTTATCTTGTCGGTGGTTTCTAGAGACCTCGTTAATGACCTTGACTTAAATCTAACACCACTTCTGGAGTTTTTTTCCTTTTTCTAGCCCTCATTTTTGTACATATAAAATCAGCAGTGTGGGGTAAAGAGCAATCACAAAGCAAAACAAACTTGGAATGTCAGGTGAAATGGCATGCAGTGGAGACAGGGAGAAAAGATGGAGATTAATTGATAAAATCAAGTGTGGAACCAGTCATGAAGAAGTGCAAATAGAGGTTGGAGTTGACAGGGTTGGTGAATATTGCATGTCACTATTTGCATTTTGTCTGAGTCTGGCTAACTGTGCCCTTCTCTGTTCAGAACCAACAGAAGCTGCAAGAGGATTTTATAGCAGGAAATCTAGTACACATAGAGTGCCGCATAAATATGTTGCATGTACTGCCTTAAGCTGCTTATTAAATGGGAAATTGAACAAGAAGAGGAACAAGGGCCAGGCTTCATGAGTTTCCAAACTAGGTGTAGGATAATTAATAACTCTGGACGGATGTTTTGACCTTTAATTTAGCTGATCACTTCCAAAATGCTGTAAACTTTTATTACCTACCACTATCCGGCTGCAAGGATAAAAAAAAATAAAAATAAAAAATCCTTGCTACCATTCTGATTTCATATGATGCCCCTAGTAAGCAAAAGAAAAAAAAAATAGTCAGAAAGGAACTCCTTATTCTTTACAAATACTGAATCACATCGTCACATTGTCAATTCAATTGGATTTGATTCCACATTAATGTTGCATGAAACCCTTAGATCAGAGCAAGTAAATGGGTAATCAAATACGTATAGCAGCTGATGAGTGACAATAAAACATTGATATAATTTTTATGTTTATTTCCTACTGGAGCAAATCATGGCTGTTTTTCTGTGAGAAGTGTGAATTGTCAGAACTTCAACTAAGAGCAAAGTCCACATGATCTAAATTTAACCTGGAAATCAAAACCATTGCCAGGGTTTTAGCAGTATCTGAGCCAGGTCTTCTAGTAGGGATGGATAATTTAGTCTTTATTCACAATTTTATCCCAAATTTATTCTTTATGCACAGTGCTATCCTTAACTTCAACAACTACAATATAAATCTCCAGTTCCACTAACTACATTTCACCTGCTTAAAAATTTCTAGCAGTATAGCCTTGTTTACTAAATTGTACTAAATTACTTTACATGGGGGCAATTAAAAACTGATATCCTTTTACCCAGGGACAGCTGCATTTCACTGTTGGAGGATGTAATCACTGCATATGTTATAAAGTTCCTGGCGATAAATAATACTTTCTAAAATACATGTGACAAGACTAGAAGAACTGAAAAAAGTAAATTTCTATTTTGTGCATTCCTCTTTTTTTCTTGTCCCCTCACTGAGCAGACAATATTTTAAAGCCACCTTGTCTTAAGAGAAGTCACCAGGATTTCAACAGAATTCTTCCACTTTCTATGACTAAAAGAAAATGTTTTAAAAATGGCCTTGACTTGTAAGGCTGGAACATGCTACCTCCAGTTCCTTTTAACCTTGACTCCCTGTTGAAGCAAGATTTTAAAAGTATTTTATATAAGTATTTAAGCATGAAACTACTGCAAGATAGTGTCCCACAAAACATTCCCAGATGGTGATGCTGGGTTATGACTGAATAACACATAAAGTAGAGATTCCCTTACTTCGTCACTGTTTTTTTTACAGAGGCTTGATTTTTATAATTTTTACTTGCCGCTGACCTACCCTGTTTTTCTTTCTTGGCCCAACCTGAGCCAGTGAAATCAAGACTAAAGGAATGTTGGGTTCAATCTGATCTTTCTGACCAACTTCTTGATGGTTCTTGTTTTTCTCCCTTAGCTCAAATATAAACAGAGAGGGGGAGAGCCAGGAACTTCTGGCAGGGGTCAGAGTATTTCACAGTCCTAGGAGCACAGGAGGTGAAAGAAAAGGCTGAATCCTCAGATCTCTTATGTAAAAGGAGGAGGGAACATGTTGGAGGCAGCCATAGCAGACATAGGAATGTAAAGGAGCTCTTATTTAAAGGTGGAGAGTCCTTTTCAGGAATAAGGATTTGAAAGTCTTGTTGAGATGTGAGATTCCCAGAAATATTCATCTAGGGTACTGAAGTACAGCTGTCCTGCTCCTGAGTTCAGCAATGCTTCCTGCTTGGTGAGGAGCTTCTCAATTGTTTTGTTTCAGGAGTAATCCCACTGATCCTACTGCTCAGCAGAACAGGCAGCTCTCTGCAAGGAAAAGCTGTTAAGGGAGAGGCAGTTTCATCAGAAGCTGTGGTTGAGCCAATGCTGCTGAGCTGGGGTAATTTTGTATTGTGTGCAGGAACATTAAAACCTGTGTCCAGAGGCTGCCACAGACTCTCCCTAATGGTCTGCATTACTAATTCAACTAATTGCTGCAATTACAGGCAGGAGATGCTGCTGGGAAGAGACACCAGTACACGTCTCTCTAACATGCTGCAGTACATGCTGCTCATTAATTAGACCAGCACACACAAAAATAAAAAATAAAATTAAAAAAAAAAAATCACCAGCTGGAAGTGCAAAGGAATGTGATGAAACCTGTAAGGGTTGTGAATGGTCCCAGTTTGGTTTAACCCTTTCAGAACCAGACTTTCCAGCTGGTCAACATTGTTTCATCCGCATCCCTGCTCACTAGCTAAGCAAGGAGGTGAGGTTGCATGTTGGGCATACCTGACACATGCAGCAGTTCACCCTGCAACAAACGAGTTGCACTCGTATTTACAATCTGGATAAACACCAGATTCCCAGCACAAGAGGTGCATTAACAGGGCAGGAATTATGTCTGCCTGAGAGGGGTGCATCAGCAGAGTGCTGCTGGCTGCCTGAGTGATGTCTATTGTCTGGATCTGTCTATTTTTCTTTGCAGAAAGCATGTTCAGTCTGAGCATGCCTCACCTGGTGAGTGTCTCAGGAAGTGCCTTCTGGCTGGCCCTGCATGATGCCAGGACTTATGGAGGAGCCCAGCCTCCTCCAAGCAGACACATCTACAGTGGCTGTTGGAGGGCAGTTTGCCAGCCGAGCAGGCTTTGTAGCCCACTGTGCTTCATCAGTGTGATCCACCTGCTGCCCTAAACAGCCCAGCAGGTGCACAGGACCTGTGCACACCTGAAATATTTAACAGCACAGGATAAGCACTGTTTCTCCAGCAGGAGACTCCAATTCAATGGAGGACACATTTACACAGGCATACCTGCAGTGCTTGGTACAACTTAAATATTTTAAAAGTTACAATTCTGAACAATTTTTTCCTTGGATATTCAGCTGCCTCTGTAATAGCTCCTTGCCTTGCAAATATCTTAATTTTTTTTTCCTTTATTTCTTTGTTTCTTTCACATGCCAGACAACAGACGATATCGTTTCATCAGCTGAATGTTCCAGTGATGATGAAGATTTCATTGACTGTGAACCTAGTACAGGTAAGTCAGGTCAGTCTTGTTTTGCTTGCTTTCTGATTTCATTTGCAAAAAACAATGCATACATATATTTTATATGTGTGTGAATGTATACATATATTATTATATATGTATATATGTGTGTGTATATGTGTATATATATATATACACTTATGTATATATACACTGTATATAAAATAAGAAATTCTACAGCCAAGCATCAGATCCCATGGACTTGGCATCAGCAAAATACAGATATGTAGTCACAATTTGGTTTATATAAAGTTGTTCGCATGGAAAGGCAAACTTTCTGAAAGTGATCCCAGCTAATTAATTGTTCACATTTTGTAGAACTTACTTTACTGACACAGTAGTAAAAAATAATCAGTATGGAGTGTGGCAACTAATGAGGATTTATGAAGTGGGGAGAATGAGTATTTACCAAACAGAAAAGAAACAAAGGTGAAACAAAAATGGGTTATTAGCAATGTTAAATCTTTCTTAATTGCTTTGAAGGTGGATGTTAAGGGATACATTTGTCCATGGGATTTTGAGTACAGTTAACATGGTAATGTGTTTATACTAATTTTGTTTCCTGTGAGCCCAAAGATATTGGGGAGCACCGAAACATAGTTTTAACATAACAAAATTAGTAGTAATTCTTGCCTTGTTATCTGCAGTGATGCTTCAAAATGTATCCATTTAAAGAGTCAGAAGGACTGGCCATGTGGAACTGACTCAACTTCTCCCTTTCAGATACATTTTGATAAATTGATGGCTTTTCTTTCTGGTGAGATATATGATGTGATATCCAGCAGGCAACTGCAGTCTATTTTATTTCTTACAGGCTTTTTCAAGTCTTCTTTTTTGAGGCTTGCCATGAGTTAAGCATTTCTATAATAGAGAACAGACATCATCGAATTTCTGTGTACATTTAAAAGAAAAAGAGGAAGTTTGGTTAGAATTTTTGTCTTTAAAAGTGAAACATATAAATAGTTTGAAGGGGTTCTTTTGTTTGGCTTTGTTTTGTTTGTTTTTGCTTTGTTTTATTTGGGATTATATTTTTTCCTTTCGAAAAATCCCAAGAAAGTATTATAAATGTTCTGTTTCTAGTTTCCTGAAGCTATTTGAGTAATACAATAATAACATTAAAATTCACCCAAGGCTAGTGCTTTCACATTTCTTTTCAATTTGTCATGCTGTACCTGCATTTTTCGTAGAACTTGGTCCTGCTGTAAGCTGAGATTGGCATTGTGTTGTAGCTGGGAACTTCCACCCATACTCTTGACTTCCCTGTGATGGCAGTGAAGGCAGTGACACATTGACTGAGGGTAACAGGGAGCTCAGCCAACTTCCCATCTCTTTTTTCACAGATTTCTATGAGTTTTTCCACTCCCCATCTGGAAGAAAAGCACGCCAAACAATATTAGATTGTGAAGTATAAACAATGKGGGTACTGAGAGATTAAGTAAAGGTAGTAATGAAATGCCAGCAGAGTGATTATAATGAAAGTGAGGCATAGATTAATAAGACCATGTTAAAAGGACAAATGTACCACAAGTGATATGCAAATGAATGAAGTCACTTCATTAAAGCTTCACTAACATGTGAAGACTTCTTTTTTTTAAAATTTATATTCTCATTGCTAAGTACTTCAATTAAAGGACAAAATGAGGTCTTTGTCAGACTTCTCCTCTTGTAAATTTTTGTTTCAAAAATCACAATAATATAAACGCCTAGAAATTGTAACGGCAATATTTTCAGCTCGTGCTGCCAGTGGAAAAATCAAAGTTTGAGTAGAAATTTGGTAAAACAGGATGTTTAGCATGAAATTTCATAGTGCTGTGGAGCTCCATTTCCAGACTAAAAATACCTCCTTCCTGCCACAGTTATAAATCTAATGCTACAAACAGGTACAAACTGGATTTGTAAAAATTACTTGCCTTTGAAAATCTTGCTAAGCATTACAGTTGGCAGATATGAGTGCCTACAGACATTTGAATATCTGCTGTGTAAAATAATATGATTCACTAAAAATATGCTGAAATTTCTCTCCTAAACTACTAAACATTCTTCCAAATTTCACCTAGTGTCCTGTATTGCACCCTATTCCTCTTGCATTTGGACTGCATAAGCCACTGAAATCTGAATATTATTTGGGAATTACTATGACATTGAGAATTAAAGTTAGCTTGATTATATGTAAAAATAAGTCTCCCAGATGGTCCTTGCTGATAAAATCTGCACTTCCAGATTTTGAATTTTCCTGCTCTCAGAGGTGCTCGTGCAATTGCCAGAAGGAGGAGGAATATGCAGGTCCTTTTTGCATAAACTTAACTCATTCCAGCATAATAAGAAGGAAAAGTAACAGACTTATGGTGCATCTCATTTTCTTTGTCTGTCTTATTGTCTGCATTCCTGGTGCCTCCAGTGTCTGCAATACAGTCGGTATCAAACACTCACTCAGCCCATTCTGCTCTGGAGCACTAAAGCAATCTGAGCCGGCTTATCAAAATCCAGTAGTGCTGGCTTGGCTCAGCAGATATGTTTGCCTTTACACTTCACCAGCCAAGTCAGAATTCTGGCCACATGCCAAGATCTGGTATTTAAATATGTGCGTTTTTGGAGAGAAAATACCGAGATTATCTTGCTTGTATTTTCTGGTGTCAGGCTTTGGGTTTTTTTGAACCTTAATGTTCAGGTTTTTTTTAATTGGGCTCATTTGAAATTGCTTCATCCTGTTCTGTTGACAGGTCACTGCCTTCTGCCTTGCCTGATCCCTTTTACAGCAGACTGAAAATTAAATGACCTAACCCAGCACAGCCTTCTTTTTGTTACTCTGATAATGTGTAGCTTTTAAACTCTTGAGTTTCTGCCAGATTTGGCCTTCCATCACCTTCAGTGCCATGGTCCAGTAATGTAAAGGTTACTGAACTCACTGCTGCAGCTGTGAGATATGATACACATCACTGTGAACCTGCTAACAGCCAAGACAAGGTCAGCAGAGAATATTTCCCTGCAAATCAGGAGTTTTCAGATTTTATATGGGTCAGAATCAAAACCCAATATCTAGAGATATTACTTTGGTCTCGGTCCTGAACGAGAGGCAGTTCTCCACAGAGTCCTTTTGAAGCCTTTGTTTTTGGTGTACTCAGAGGCTGAAAATCATGTCCTCTTTGAGGCTAAATATCATGTGAGAAGCATTTGGCAAGGTCTTATTGGCACTTAACTCTAATTCACTGTTGAATCCAAAACCTGAACCTCATGCTCATATAATCTGCGTCTGAACAGTTGTATCTCTTAAAAAAAAAAAAGACAGTGTGAAGGTGATTCCCTCACTCTGCTCCCTTCAGGATTTTCCAGGCTGGCTTGAAACACTCACTGTAGCAGGCTGGCTAACACTTTATGCCCCACTCCCAAAAGTGATTTCTTTCGGAATTTTGGTAGAAAAACTTTATGTCAAAAACAGGAATGAGCTGTCACTGGACCTGTCCTGACTGAGGCAGCATACAAGCACCACCTGTAGACACGTATCTATACATAAAGAATTATTCCAAGTAATGACAGTGACAGCTGTGGATCCAAAATCCATTTATATTTTATGTCATGTGAAAGAAACCATTGCAGGTTCAGGGATAAAAATTGCCCACTATTCATCTTACTGCAGTCATACCTAGACACCCTTAGATCTCTTGGTCTCCAAAAAGGCTTGATCTAAGGGGGAAAAAACTCATTCATCTGCCCTGAAGAAGCATTTACTTAACAGGTAAAAAAAAAGATCCTCTTTTATCCCTTTGGAAATGTTCCTTCTACATCCAGTACATGGCTAAAAAGCTTTCTTTTCCTGCACCAGAAACATGATGCTTTTCTCTGGTATGARTACAGAACTCTCTTCTGACCTGTTCCAGGGAGATCTGAGGCTTAAATTTTCAAGTTCCTCAAAACTCAAGCTAGGGTCCTGGATCTATGCTTTTGAGCACAGTTCTGTGGTGGTGTTTTGGTCACTCAGCTGCTCTCAGAGAATGTAAGTTTTGTAAGGAAAATATCCTTTCTGACTAGGAATGACTAGGAAGCACTGTGAAGAAAGACAGCATTTATCTCTTTACAGTGAAATGAGGAGCACCCTCCACAATCTGATCTTACTGAGACTTCAAAGCCTTGCGGATTATAATTATGCTTTCCTGACAGCTGCTGCTGCTGTCTCCTGGTACCATTGCCCTGGTTCCTGTTAAGAATGTCCATTGGTGGAGCTCTGGCACCAGGCAGGCTGGGTGCTGGTGGCCAGGCAGCTGATTGGGATCCCAGCCCAAGCTGCTCCTTGGACTACTCAAAACACTGAGACCCAAATACTCATCAATTAGCCTGAAACCCAGAACAGCCTCTTGGAATGGTCTGTAGGGCTTAATCCTTTCTCCCTGGCTTGACACATCCTGTGTTTCTTCCCTGATGCAGTTGCCAGATTTCCCTTCGTATCAGCTCATTAATTTCCTATGTGATTTTTTTTCCTGAGAAATTTGTTCTGTTTCCCAAAAGGCTTCATATATCATAAGGCTGTCATTGTCTAATCAGACTGGTAAACCTTTCTGATGAGGGACTGGAGACAGCAGTAGAAATGCCAAAATCTACAGTTCTCTGCTCTGAAAGTTACACAGTGTTTTGTACACGTACCCACACACAGGAGGCACATATCCTGCAGTTATGTTCTCTGTATCTATAATTTATTGGCCTGTAGCCATCCACCTGCCGGCTGCCTGGGTCAGAGATTTATTTGCAGAAAACAAGTAGAACCTGTCTTCCAAAACAGCCAGCACAATACAAAATCCAGTATATTGGAAGTGAAGACTTAGTTGAAGAAACCAAGAGAAATGTTGATTTGGTTGTTGTCCTCCATAACTGCATCAGCCTTCTTGAAGCACCTGGGGAACTGTCATTGTTCTCCCAAGAGGAACACCCTCTGCAATCCAGTGCCCAGTTATCCCCAGGCTTTTCCTCTGACAAGCAGGAATTCTTGCCCATTTCTCATG